TATCACCTCTCAATTTGGACTTGCACATTTTAAGTCCTCAGTAGCTTTATGTGACTACCCTTTCTAGAGCACTGTTTTGTCCAGAATGAGTTATTGCCAAGAACTAGAAAGCTGATTCACTAGTAAGCGTTACTGAAGAGATTCAGAGAAGAGACCCATCATGAACCAACTGTGAAATTTTGTACCAGGCACTGTTGAAAGCACTTTATATAACATCTTCATTTAGTTTTTTCTCATAGCCAAATCTCGAAAAACCTTTGAGTGAAGGTAGGTTATTTGAAAGATGTTCCAGGAAGCCAATTATGGATGCATTATTGAGCCAGTTATTTCTATGGGTAATTGGTGCTTGATTTTAATGGGGACCCCTCAGGAAATTATATATAATGGGCTTCAGAATTGTCCTTCCAAGGAACAGAAAACTGGGGCATTTATTCATTGACTCCTCTTCCCCATTGACTGAGGGTGCTCACGCTTCCATGTTTCTGGATTGTCCTGCATAACGCTGAGGAATCATATCTTCAGAATGAGTTCTGAGGCAGAAAAACTGAACAACAAGGCAGACATTTGGGTGATGTTTTGCCAGTATGCATGGAAATTTTCTGCCATCAGTTGGAATTGGAGTCATTGAAAGGCTAGGCTCATGGCAAAACTGCTGTTGTGTGTTCACTATACAACTGTCTTAGTCTTTGGGTTATTGTAAAAAAATGACATAAACTGGGTGGCTGATAAACAACAGAAACTTATTTCTTGCATGTTAGGGAGCTGGGAAATCCAAGATTAAGAGACCAATAGATTTAGTGTCCACTGAGGGCCCATTTCTTGACTCATAGAATAGTACCATCTAGTAGTGTCTTACATGGTAGCAGGGATATACCCTGGTCCCTGTGGTCCCTTAAAGAGCACTGTTTTCCTTTATGAGTGTTCTACCCTCATAACATAATCACCTCTTGATATACCCACTTCTCAGTACACATTGGGGATTAGGATTCATCATATTAATTTTAGGGGAACACAAATATTTAGACCATAACAATAATACCTGCTAAGTAGACGTTATTATTCCCAATTTAAAGAAGAAACTGAAGATCGGAAAACCTCCAATGCCTGTTCAAAGTGGTGTAATTCTCTTTCTATACACATGACTTGAAGTCCACAAAAGACATATTTCAAGCGATTTTTCTCCTTTGACAAAAACCTGCAGAGACTTTTTTTCTTTATTGCATATTACTTATTATTTGAGAAATTTATACAATTCCACAGTGTTCATTTTGCTTGAGCCATCTTTAACCAGAGTAACAAACATAAACCACAACATGGTCTTGTAAGAATGTGATAGTCTATTTTTTAAAAGGCACATTTGACACTGTGGTTGGTATCTAATAAATTTTGTAAACTCACTTATTTCCATCACTCACCACTGAATCTGTAGTGCAGATCTCATTTTCAAATCAATTATTACCACAACAGTTCCTTTATAAATGGATATCACAGACTGAACAGCTTCCAATATCTAAAATAGTGGTTTTACAGCATAGTATTGGCACCAAAATAGGCTAAGTAGACCAATGGTACAGAATAGAGGACACAGAGACTAACCCACAAATATACAACTATCTTATATTAGACAAAGGTGCCAAAAGCACGCACTGGAGAAAGGATAGCATCTTTAACAAATGGTGCTGGGAAAACTGGAAATCCATATGCAACAAAATGAAATTGAATCCGTATCTCTCACCATACACAAAAGTTTACTCAAAATGGATCAAGGATCTAGAGATTAAACCAGAGTCTCTGTGTCTAATAGAATTGGGAATAGTCAGGGATGAGGGAGGCAGGATAAAAGGAGCCTTTTCTGTTTCTCTATTTGCTTATTGTTTTATTTGAATTTTAAAATACATAAACATGTATTATGTGTAATTTATGCAACTAAATAATGTTAAAAGAAAATGCATGCATAGGCTATTGTTTCAGTTTTATCTCATGACTATTGCCTCTAATCTAACTTCCACGTCTAATTACATGTGGTAAGTATTCACTGGACATTCACAGAAGAAGGAAGGAATTCCTCAGAATTTCTCATGTTTTCATTAATTTCATTTTGCACTAGGTTTCTTGATGCTTACTCACAAAGTAAATTTTACTCTTAAATATGATTTATGCCAGTCAGACTCATTCCATGCTGTGAAGGTTATGATGCCTTAAAGGAAGATTTTTCAGAAATCACAATCATGAAAAGCTACGTGAAAAAAAAAAAAGAAGGAATCTTTTTGCAAAAAGAGGGAAACTCTGATTTTTAAAAATATTTCTTGGTACCTTACATGTTAATATGTATTTGAAACTACTTATATTATAAAAAATCATGGTACTCTTTTGGAGTTGTATTTGGGGTCCTGCTTGGCCATTTCATTTGCAGATACCTCTCATCCTCACTTTTGGCTGAAGTGGTGTGGCGTGACTGCCGCATTTTGACCGGCTAACCTCCTATTTTTAGGTCTGGTTCACTGAACCAAATAGTGAGACTTGATTCAAGTTGAGGCAATCAGCTTGCCTCTGTGGGTTTTATTTAAGACAAAGACGCAGCCATGTGATGATGGTCTCTGGAACTATGAGCTGAGAAGAAGAGCAGCCACTTTGGGGTTCTGTGCTTCATTTGGCAAGCAGAGGGACCCAAGGCATTGATGCAGAAACCCAGAGAGAAAATATGCACAAGTGAGAGGGTGTAGTGGCAGCCCCTTCTCCACAGAAAATCTTAATTAAGCTTCTTCAGAAATCTTCATCATAATTGATTTTAGGGCTATCAGCAAAAGAGTCTCTACAAAAGAGTTCAATGTAGGTAAACTTACTATTTTCACGTTTCTCTATTTTACTTGGCCACTGGCCTGGAAGAAATCAGTATTCCAGGTGCTGAACGCCCCTTTACTAGTTTTTCACAAACATTCATCCAGTATAGTAGTTTGTAGAAATGTGTTTGAAAATGCAAAATGTGATTTAAAAAACAAAAACAAAAACAAGACAGATCCTTTATTTAACAAGGCCTCTGGCCTTGAGCTGGAGCTTCACAGAGATGTCTACATTTCTAAGATAAAAGAAGTTACCAATTGGGCTCCATGGTAACAGCTGGCAGGGAGAGGAAAGAAAGGGAAGAAGAAGCTCTCCCCTTCTCAGGTGTTGTCCTTGAAGGGTTTCCCAGAACAGTGAAAGAAAAAGCTGCTTTTACTGAGTCCCTCCCCTTATATACTGGGTATAACATTTTGAAACTACCTGAACTGGAGGTTCAGGAGATTAATTGATTACAGCTGTACTATCTGAACTTGGCTGAAACCAAATAAAACTGTTTCCTGCTATCTTTGGACCTTGTCTGTCTGTTCCCTATAACAGGGGGAAGACTCAGAATTTTTTATTTATTTTAATTGCTTTCAGATTTAAATTTCCTGTGGTACCTGGCTCTACTTCCTGCCTTGGGTTATGAGGTAGTCTCAAATACTAGCTTACATAAGATAGATTGAATGAGTTGATTTTTGCAACTAAGAGAATATAAAAGAAAAAAAAGTATCATTTCTTAAACCATTGATGCCCATAAATTTTCTGTCCCCCCACCCTAGCCCCACCCCATGGAAGCACTAAAATCATCCTCTTAGGGAAAATTTTCTTTCTTTCTTGTTTTTACAAAATTGTGAGCATTCCCCATTTTGATAATTCCAACCCTGCTTAAATACAACTCAGTTTATCAGGGTCCATCCTTTTCTGGCTAAACATGCCCAGAAGAATATACAATCTTGCTGATTTGTCTCATTTTCAGTGCATTGCTACTAACTACAACCTGATGTTTAATCTGCCTGGTACCACACTGTGTTGCCCTTGGTCCAGCACCCAGCCATTGACTGTTTCCCTGTTTCTTCTCCTTCCATGGTGCCTCCTCCTGCCTCTTCACTCTTTACTGAAACCTTGCTTTCTATTTCACTTGGATGGCAGAAGATACCAAAAGATCCCTCCTGTCTGCTTCTGCCACCACAGCTACCCAGCTGCTTGATCTCTGCCCTCCTTTTCTGCTTTTCTTATTAGGATGACTCTCTACACCCTAGGCTCAAATCAACTCCCCCCATCTCCCTGCCCCTCCATATTCCAAAACATCACATCAGCAGTAGGACTCTGTTCTGTAAAATAATGCTTGGCCATTTTATGAGCTTATAAATGGTACTATTTTTGCTATCTTAAGGAGAACACATTTTTTCAGACTCCTTATCTCCCTGCAGTTACTGGATTATTTATCTGGTCCTGTGAAAAGTAACTCTTCTCAATATTATTCCTACTTGATATCTGTAATTTGCTTGTTTATGAATCAGGCATTCATTCTCACAGCTTTTACAAAACAGCACTTGTCAGATTGCTATTGACTTCCACATAGCTAAAACTGTGATGGATCATAGTTTTCATCTTACTTTAGCTGTTGGCAGCATTTGAAAGAGGACATCACTCTTCCCTTAAATACTTTCTTTACCCTAGGACACTAAACTCTTGGGTCTGTTTGTATTTTATTAGCCCCTCCTCTTTGGCTGCTTTGCCGGTCCCATTATATACAACTATCCTATAGGCACTGGCATTCCCCAGACTATGTCTCAAATCTCTCTTATTCAATTTCTACTAGTACAGTGGTTTTGAAGTATTATGTACATGTTAAGAAATCACAAATTCACTTCTTAATCCCAGACCTCTTCTAAATTCCAAGTGTCCTTCCCCAACCTCCTATCAAAATTCCATGACGGATGTTGGAGAGATGTCATAAGTCCCCAAGTGTTCAATGACCCTAGGATTTAAACCTTAGAATAACTCCTCCTCCTCCTCCTCCTCCTCCTTCTTTGGTGCATCTCACAGATCATTTATTCATGCCACATAGTAAGTGGTACTTATATAAGGTTATGGCAATGTTCTGTGTTCACAAAGCCTGCTTAGATTTACAGGCAGACCAACGATTCTTTACTCAAGCTAGCTGGCTAAGTACTCAAGCAAGCTGGCTAATGATGACCATGAGCAGGTGCGGGACTTGAACCTTTCCAAGCTTTACTTCTTTTATCAGCACTCCTGATTTTATAAGCAATGAAGCTCATCAATCCCATTTCTACCCAAATCTCTTGGTAAACCTGGGTATAGTAGGGCTTCAAGGGGACCCAGTAGTTTTTAATAATGGTTTGAAACATCTCGTCAGAACCAATAGCTCAGGCTGCACTAGATAGCGAAGCTGATCTGCAAAGGTCACTGAGTGCACAGTAAACCTTAGAACTTCTTAAGAAACAACTTTATTGAAATATAATTCACAAAGCACACAATTCAGTTATTTGAAGAGTACAATTCAATGGCTTTGAGTATATTTACAGAGTTGGGCAACTATTACCATAATCAAATTTAGAACATTCCCAAGGACAACCTTCACCTTACCATCCTCACCCTCAGGTGGCACAACATTAGCATATGTTCTAAACTGGGTCCTAAAGGTCCCCAAAGGATTGAGCCACAGTGGCCCTCATTAATGAACTGTTGAATTGATCTTCCTACTCTTCCTTCTGAACTTCTTACAGATGCCTCTAGGGTCATTTTGAAACAAGAACAAAGGAAAGGCATTTAGTGTAGATTAGTGATCCAGTGGGATTTGGAAGATGAAAGCTGACTTGGGTCAGGGAAGATAGAGACTGCCTCTGGGGTATTGAAATGCTAATATCTCCAGAGCCCTTTACCCCTCCCCACTCCTTACCAAGGTTACCTGCCAACCAGAAACTGTTCCTCCCCAAAGGCTGTTAAAGAAGCACCTCCTGAGTAGCCCTTCCCCTTCCCATTGACTCCTCACCTTTAGGCTCATCCTCTGGCCACTGGTCACACACGCAGAATGGGGAAAGGAAAGAAGCAAAATAATGGGAGAAGAGGACAGGAGAATGACAACAACAACAACAACAAATATATATATATATATATATATATATATATATATATATATATATATATATATATCCCTGTCTCACAGATACCAGCTTTAGGTCCTCTTCTTCTTCCAGGGGAAAGTCTGTTTTTATCTTTAAATAAAACTTGCTTTGTACTATTGCCTTGGTGTTTCTCGGATATTCAATCTTCACATCTGGGGAAATGGAACATGTTGACACTAGTAACAGTTTCACAAATGAACTGTTTAGTCCTATGTCTGTTCCTGGGAGGAGTATCTAAGAGAAAAATCTTTGCTTATATTCTTATTTCTCTTTTTTTTTCTTTTAAAATATATTTTTGTCTTAACATATAGTAATTGTACACACTTATGGAGTTCAGGGCTACATTTTAATGCATGCATACAATTTGTACAATGATAAGATCAGGTAATTGGCATACCTATTGCCACAGCCAGGTTAGCATTTCTTCAAGTTGGCATTCAAAATCTTTTTTACGAGCTATTTGGAAACATTCAGTAAATTGTCAACCATAGTCATCCTCCAGTGCTATAGAATATTAAAACCTGTTCCTCTTCTCCAGTTGTGCCTCTATGCCAAATAATCATCCTCTCTCCATCTCTCCTGTATTTTAATTTCTTAAGGTTATATTCCTTATCAGGGAAATATTAGGTCAAAGAGTGGAATTTTTTACACTTGATCTTAGCCAAAAGGCCGAGAAGCGATGGAATTTTTTAAAGTGACTTTGAGCACTCCATGTCAAAACCTCTGTCAATATAGGGAATCCTACTTTGTGTGTCTGAGTGGGAGGTAAGACTTTACTTTCTTCTGAAGACTCTGCAAAAACTTTGTTGGCCTCTTTTAAAACCAGAGCATGGGCATGTGACCCAAGTTTGGCTAAGCAGAAAGATCTGTCCCAGATTAAAAATTTGGAGGAAGTGGAGATGTGTTATGGTTTAGCTATGAGGTGCCCTTCCACCAAAAGTTCATGTAGCAGACAATGGGTTGATCCACAGATATGGGCAGTAATTGTAGGCTTGTGGGGTGTGACTGGAGGAAGTAGGTCACTGAGGCTGTAAACTATGGGGTTTCTATTTTGTCCCTGGTGAGTGGAGCTTGCTTTCTTTGCTTCCTGGTTGTCATATTTTGAGCTGTTTTTGTTTGCCTTTCCACCATGATATTTGCTTCACCTTAGGCCCAAAGCTGTGGAGTTTGCCAACCACAGACTGAACTTCTGAAGCTGGTAATAAAAATGAAACTTTTCTTCCTATAATTTGCTCTTGTCAGGTTTTTGGATCACAGTAACATAAAAGCTGACTAAAACAAGATGTAAAGAAGACAGAATAGGACAAAGACTTTCCCCTGTTGGTATTGGCTATTTTAGCAGCTTCCCGTTTCTGGAGACCTCATGGGTGGTGGTGCCAGCAGCAGTTACTTACATTCAGTGACCGCAGGGTGGGCCGCAAAACCTGCTGTGGTCAAGAGCTGTACTGCCCAGTAGAAATGTAATGTGAACCACAGACGCCACTTTCTAATAGCCTAGTAAAAAAATAGAAACAGATAAAAATAATTTAAAGAGCACATTTTATTTAATCCAAACATCCAACATATGGTATTTAGTAATCTGAAGCAAAATAGATAGAATTGGAGGACATTATATTCAGTGACATAAACCAGACACAAGGACAAGTACTGAATGTTCTTTCTCATTTTTGGAAACTAGAATAGTCAACCTGAAAGGATCATAATTACTAGGGATTACTGTGTGTGTGTGTGCATGTGGGTGTGTACAGAAGCAGGATGGGAAAATAGTAGTTGGGTATGATCGGTGCATGATGTAAACCTGTATGAAGGTATCATACTGAATTTCATTCATATGTACAATTAATATATGTTAATAAGTGAATAAAATATTCACTTTCCTTCTCTTCCCACTGTGGGTGCAGAACACGACTTTGCTGTTAAGTTTTTGATATGAGCTATCCCTCCAATGCCGCAGTCTGGCTGGGCACAATCAGGAGCCACTTGTCAAAAGAAACTAACTTTATTTTTAGAACCACACACGACAAACAAAATAGTCTCTCAGGAAAAACCCTCAGAGCCTCAACTGCCACCACCGGCTTTCCCCAAGCCTCTCTCTCCCACACAAGCTTCTCTCCACCTCCCACAATCCTCCTGCTCTTGAGGCCGATTGGCTGGGTCACGTGGGCGGAGCCAAAAAAGTCCCCCAATGAGCAGCTCCGTGGTCTGAAAGGGCAGGGAAACAGTCCAATGAGCATCACCGCAGAGGAGCCAATCAGCTAGATGTTGCTGGGGCCGAGGAGCCAATCAGCTAGATGTTGCTGGGGCTGCTGTGAGCCAATCATCAGCCAGCAGCTGGAAGTTTGCTGGCAGCTGGAAGTTTGCTGGGGCCCCTTTGGCTGTGGCTCTCAACATCTCCCCCTCTCTGTTTAAACAACAAGCATGTGGCTTAGGGACCGTGCCTGTTAGGCAGTCCAATTCAACATATGGTCCTTACCCGTCATCGGATGAACTGACCTCTAGGCGTCAGCCTCCTGTCTTAGGTTGGTACCACTGCAATTGGATCATACCCGTCACTGACTACCGGTCCAGCATACAGCCATACTTGTGGATAGGCCTTTGCACCTGTGGGGGGGTGAGGTTCTTTGCCTCACCTCTGTTGGCCCCCAAATTTTAGACCATCACTAGTAGAGGAGGATGCAAAATGCCATGACATTAAGCCAATTGAGGGCTCCTAAATTGTACCACCGGTGACACCATCAGCAAAAATACTCCAGCACTACCACAATTCGCTGTACCAACAGATAGTTCACAATGCATACAGGTGAGCTCACAATGTGTCCAGGCAAGTTCTGCAAGCAGTTCAGTGATGGCTATTGTAGAAGCTGTAGATTGGTTTTATCTTTCACTTCACCAGCACTGGGATGAAGATAGGAATTCTGGCAATAATGGCTAAAGAAAAAATTATGTAACATTCCAGAAGGCACTAAAAGAAAACAATTTTCTTAACAATTTACATTGTCTTCACCGGCACTGGGATGAAGATAGGAATTCTGGCAATAATGGCTAAAGAAAAAATTATGTAACACTACAGAAGGCACTAAAAGAAAACAATTTTCTTAACAATTTACATTATCTTTAAGAGAATTATTAAATATAATGAAAAGGAAAGGTAAAAGTAAACAAACAGATCTGTTAACCTTCTTTTTTGTTTACATATTAAAACAATCCTCAACAGTTGTTTACCCAATTTAAATTAAACCATATAAATCACGTGAAAAAAAAATATTTGGATCCATTTTATCATGAGCGCTCATCATATATGATATATGGACATACGTACATTCAAACATATAACACAAAACACAAGTGTGCACACATAATATAATACATACAACACATAACATTATAGTAAAGGCCTTATAACTTTTTACAGGTGAAATCTCCATTGCAATGCTTAAAAACTCTATAGTCAAAAAATAGAACTGATCAGCAAAACATTAACCTAGGTCTGTATGAGCTCAAAAAACAAAATAGAACTTCATGATATGGCAAAAGGCAATAATAAAATAGATATTGAAAAAAGCATCCTGGTTCTGTTGCAGATGTAAGAATAGCCAAACTGGAGTTTTGGATATCAGTTGTTATGGATTTGAGCCAAATCATCTTCTTTTTGGTCTGTAGAAATCGCTTTAGTTAATCTTTCTGGAATCCAAATCGGCTGCTGTTCTCCCTGTGGAAACACACAAACAGACCCCCGACTCCAGACAATCACTGGGTCAGGACCTTGGTTAATCTCTCTGGAATCCAAATCGGCTGCTGTTCTCCCTGTGGAAACACACAAACAGACCCCCGACTCCAGACAATTACTGGGTCAGGACCTTTCCATTGTCCTGTTAGAATATCCTTCCAAAGTACCTTGGGCTTATGTACATTTTTTGGACACATATGCCTTTCCGCAGCACTAAGTCCTGATGAATCCAAATTTAAAAAGTTTAGAGTAAAAAGCGTTATTTTAAGTTTATCTTTGGGGAATATATACCCCTTCCCAATTCCTTCTTTTTGCTTTAATAAGTACATTTTAATAGTTTGATGAGCTCTTTCAACTATGCCTTGTCCCTGTGGATTGTATGGGATTCCTGTTATATGAGTAATGCCAAATGTTGAGCAAAATTGTTTAAAAGAGGTAGAAGTATAACCAGGGGCATTATCTGTTTTTAACTGTTTTGGAACACCCACAGTGGCAAAATTTTGTAAGCAATGAG